GACCAGAGTGAATGGCTTGGCCGAGGAGCCCCTGGAGGAGCTTGGGAAGGACACTCTGCGTTACTGGACTGCTCCAGGGAGGATGTGACTGGTCATATCAGAACACGCCCCAGCACAGGAAACCACCCGTCCCATGGAAATCCACTGCAAACAAGGTTGTTTAACAACTGTGTGACATTATGTCCACCCCGCAAATGCCCATCTTTGTTCCTGGTCATCTTGATGCTGACTCAGTGGATTCAAAAAATAAAACAGCCCTGGTGGCAGAAACAGATGCCAAGCCTGGGCTCAACCACGGGTGTCCCCTCAACAAAGTTAATGATACAGTGCCTTGAAGGACCCAGACGGCTACTTGTGGGAAGCTGATTACAGTGGACCCTTTTCACAATAGGTGGTTTGTCTTTCCTGGAAGAGACACTTATTCTAGATTTGGATTTGTTTGTCTTGCCTATCAAGAGTCCTGCTAGAATCTCCCCGGAGAGGTTGCTGTTCACCGCAGTGCAGAAACGAAGGGGTCAACACGGGAGTTCACGATCACTTAATAACACACTTGCAAAGTGTTTTCTTTCCACCCAGTAACTCTGCTCTGTCAAAGCTGAATCTCCTCCCCTCTCACGAGGGGCTCCTAGCAGTGTCCTAGCCCTGGTGCCGCTGGCTCTGAGCCCGGGCCGGGCTAGTGAGCCTCCTCGTGCACAAGGAATGAGCACCCGGGGAGCACGTGGTGTCCTCTGCGGTCCCTGCCACCAGCATTTCCCAACTGGACAAATGCGGCAACCTCCAATCAGCCTCCTTCCTCTGGCCTCGCTCCCTGATGGCCTTGCTCTCTGAAGCCCAGCTGGCAACGGCTTCCACTTCACTTGGAACAACCCTGACTCCTCGAGACCTGCAATGCCCTGTCTATCCAGACTCTCTCCAGCCTCCGGGCTGCCCCGGCCTCTCCCGTCCTGGACTCCCAAGCTCCAGGCACCCGGCCTTCTCACTGAAACTTGGACACACTGAGCTCCTGCCTGACCTGGGTATTCGATGTTCCTTTGACTGGGACCTCTGCTCCCTCAGGTCTTCGCTCCCTGCTCATCCTCCAAGTCTCGGCTCCAGGGTCACCTCCTCAGAGACACGAGGTCGCCCTCCACCACTCCCACCTTCACCTTCTCCAGAAGGCACACTAGTGCCCGAGGGAGCCCTGCGTATCCACTCACTGCTCCTGTTTAAATGCGGGAACACACACGCTTCGCGGTGCTTTACTCTCTACTCCAGCAGGGACAGTGGTGCCTGGCTCAGAGCTGATGCTCCACACATTTTTCTTTCTCTTTTTTGTAGACTGACAGGTTTTCAACTAAGAGGGAAATAAAGGAGACCGTGATGACTAGAAGCAAGCAGGACCACTGCCAGCTCAGAATCTTGGAGAAGAGGCTTGGAGCACCTCAGAGGGCAAAGATAAGCACCAGGTGCTGCGAGGGGCAGGGGGTCTGGAGCGCACGGAGACCAGACTTGCAGAGGGAGAGACAGCACGTGTGCCCCACAGCCGGCCGCAGAGGGGAGGTACGTCCTTTCCTGGTATCGCGCGTGTGCACGCATGATGTCTTCGGGTTTTTGCGTGTGTGCACACATGATGTCTTCATGTTTTCTGTTTCCTCTCCTCCCACTTCTTTCCACTGGAGACGTGTGTGCTGCTTAAATTTACTTCTGGCAAACAGTGGTGGGCCTGGAGGAGGGAGGCATTTGCTCAGAGGCCCTGGACTTGGAGACGCCAGCAGTGACCAGTGAGCCTCTGGGCTGCTTTCAGGGAAAGACTGAGAGGGTTCTCATTAGACAGGAATTGGTGTGCCATGACCTTTTAAAAAACGAATGCCTGGGAATTCCCTGGTGGTCCGGTGGTTAAGACTTTGCGCTTTCACCACTGAGGGCCTGGCTTCAGTCCCTGGTCAGGGAACTAAGATCCTGCAAGCATGCGCCACCCCCTCCCTGCAAAGAACACCCTCCACCTGCTTCACCCTTCTTCACGGTGCCCCCACGGTATTACAGCTCCTTGTTAACTCATCATCTCCGCACGAGGACTTGTGAGACGAAAGGGGCTTCGCTGTGCTCCCAGCACATGGCAGGCCCTTGGCAGACACTGAATAAATGAATGAATGATTTCCCTGAAGGAGTGACCATCCTCCACTGCAGTTGGGGAATCCACACACCTGCCGCCTCATCCCTGGAGGACCCACCCTCCTCCTGGCCCCCGTGCCCCGAGCTGGTGGACCTATCACCTGAGCTGGGGGGCTGAACCCCCTTCCTGGGACTCTGTCTCCTGAGTGAGTGACTCAAGGACAGATGGATGGTGTCCTCCTCGGCTCCTTCCACATGGATCCCCGACTCCCAGGGGCCACCCTGACTGCCAGGCATTTCCTAGATGCATTTCCAGCCACCCCATCAATTTTGGGGACACCTGACACCTTCCCAAGACAGTCTCTTTTTGCTCCAGCTAGGCAGGGTTAGTTTTTGCTACTTCTCAACCAAAGAACACTAAACTCAAAACAAAACATGGTTCCAGAAAGCACAGAAATAAGCTGTTTGTGTAAGTACAGGGTTGGAGGAGGAACCCTTCCCCTTCCCCCCCCCCTTACTTCCGTTTTTTTCCTTTTTGCCCCTTGTTGTAAACCTTTGGCCGCATGTGAGCATGCTGCATAGGGTTGTGATCATGGTTTGTCACGGGCTGAATGTGTACCCCCCAAAAGATGCTGAAATTCTAACCCTCAGTACCAGCAAGGATGTGTCCTTATTTGGAAACAAGCTCTTTATAAATGATCAAGCTGACAGGTGGTCATTAGGATGGTGCCCCTAATTCTTGAGGGCACCACGTGAAGATGAAGGCAGGGACCAGGGAGATATAGCCAGACGCTGAGGTCAGGGGACCCGAGGCCGCCAGGAGCCAAGAAACGGCAGAGGGTCCCCACCTCAGGCCTTGGAAGGAATCTGCCCTGCTTCCAGCCTTCAGAATGGAGACAATTCTGTCCTGCTGATGAAGGGACCCAGTTTGTGGTACCCTGTGACGGCAGCCCTAGTAAATAAAACAATATATGTGTGACTTTATTTCCTTTTTTTCCTCACTTTTCTCACATTACAGTGGTCACCTTCCCTGTCATTACAGACTTTTTCCTGACGATGCCGTAAGCTGTTCTGAAGCGGTCACCCATAGACGCCAAGCTGACTATTCCACCGAAAGTGGACACTTGCTTCGACTTCTTTCCATCACAAGTAACGCTGGGAAGGACATCGTGCGCTCGGAGCCTTTTCTCTCCTTGTAACAGCTTTCCTAAGATACATCACCGGACGCTGATGACTGGGTGGGACAGAAGGGACTGCTGAGCAGAAGGATGATAGACGGTGCATTTGTCACCGGGGTCCCCAGGGCAGTGGGTTTGAGTTCTGAGCGGAACAAATGCTGCCGTGTGTGAAGGGAAGGAAGGAGGTTCTGGGCAGAGTGAGGCTGCGAGCCAGGTGGTGGGTAGGAGAGCGGGTGGGAGACAGGAGAGGCGCAGATGGCAGGTGGGCAGGTGGCAGAGCCTGTGAACTCCTTACAGGGCTGGGACTTTATTCCAGTAACCACAGGGAAGTTCGCAGGGAAAGGGTAGTAAGAACCGAACAGGAATAGGTGCTTAGAACCAGCATGGATGGAAGCTGGGCTCAAGGAGAGGCAGGGGCCCTGGGATGAGGGTGCGGGCGCGATCCCAGGGGCCCCACCTGCTCAGCTGAGAAGACACAAATCAAGAGATGGTCGAAAACTTCCTTGGCCCCCAGCCACCCTCCAATTCCTCTTTCTTGTCGCCCTGTCTGATGAGAGTTCAGACTGGGTTCCTCCTGGGGTAGAAACCAGGCTACCTGATGGTGGGAGAGGAGTGGACAATTCCTCAGCCATACGTTCAGGTCGATCGCTCAGCCCCAGGCGTGGACCTCCCAGGACACACTCCCAGGACAACCATTTCTGGGTCACTTCTCCACGCGCCCTGGTCCCTCCTCCTCTCACTCCCTGAAACCTAAGTGACACCGAGAAATACCCTCCTTCAAGTCTCCAGAAAGGACACTCTTTAAATCCCACCCCTTCTTGTGGCTCCGGTCACCACTGTCACATGGAGGGCGTGCCCTCTGAGGGCGAGCTGGTGAGGCCTCTGAGCGCCCTGTCCCTCACTCACGCTCACGTGCGAGGCTCGTCCTCAAAGACAAGACAGAAAAAGTCAGCACTGAAGTTAGCTCAGACTGGCTAGCTGTCCACTGTCTCTATTTAAAGAGTCAGCACAGCTCAGTGGTTAAAAACATGGGCCTGCAGCGAAAATTCTACCCGATTGTAGATTCAAGTTCCTTCTCTGCCACTTCCTGGGTGGTTTATCTATTTACTCTTGGGGTTTCTGATCTGTAAAGCGAGGATCACAAGAGCATCCGCCTAGCACAGAGCTGAGATCAGATGAATTAATCCTCAGAGCACACGGGAAGGTGTCTGCCCCACAAAACTGCCGGTCCTATCCCCGCCCGTGAGCCGGCCAGGCCACTGTCCAACCAGCGGGCTGGCTCAGACATCAGTGTCCATGCTCAGGAACCTAAAGTCAGGTCGGCAAGTGTTCACTGGGTAAGTCCTAGGCTGGCATATGCATGGCTCTATTAGATAAAGTCTTGCATGCATATACCATCTATTAGATAAACAGTATGGGTGAATCTCAAACTCTCAGGAAGAGCTTTCAGAAGGTTAAGACAAATCCCCAGGAGCCCATTCATGGTCAGATCACCACAGCAGGAACGCGGGACCCAGACTTCTCAAGATCAAGGTCACTGGGACGACGCAGAGCCCATAGGGCACCTTCTCTGGACAGGGGCGCCAGGCCTACCCCTGCAAGGCTGGCTCTGACAGCCAGTGGGCCCAGGGCAGGCCAGACGGGCGCAACGGACCGGGCTCCCAGATTGAGCAGCGACTCCACTCTCGCCTCCGGGAGAGGGACCTGCCCGGGGGGCCCTGTGAGACTCACCGTTGGACGCTCTCAGGTGCCGCCGGCGTCCCACACGGTCCAGCCCGATGGGGGTGCTCTGGGAGAAGGCGCAGGGCCGCAGCCGGGCTGACACCGCCCTGTAGGGTGGCACCTGGTGTGCGGGCACGGGTGGCCGGGTGGCGGGCTGCAAAGGAAAGGAGGGGTGGTGAGGAGAGGCAGGAAGTGGGGCTGGGAGCCTCGAAGCCCCAGGTCACGGCTGCACAGGCTCAAGGGCAGCCTTCCTCCAACGCGGAAACCCAGTGCAGACCCTCAGGGTGTCAGGTTTTCAGGTCGGGACACACCATGGGGACACTCAGGAAAGACCCCGGTGGAGGAAGGGACAGCGTCCAGCAGCACCCCCAGGGAAGCCGAGGCGGTGCCAGTGACTGAGGCCCGTGACTGTTCCTTCCCACACCCACCCGCAGGCAGGGACCAGCATCTGTGGAACACAGTTCTCGTTCACCTTAACTAACAGGACAGTGAGCTTTGTCTAAAAGGAGAGTTGGTTTTCCACCAATTTAGAACCATCTATAGCCCCTGGGATCTTCCGTACGAGTCGTCCCTAAAACAACACCGAAGGCCATGTTGGTCCATGCTTTCCATAGGCTTTCTCAGTATTTCTCTATCTAGTTCCCTAAACAAGCTTAGGGGGCAGAAAATTATCTTACTATGCTCCTTTTGGATGCTCTGAAGTGAAAAACTGTCTTAAGTGCTTAGATCGCCCCTAGACTGTGTTTCACATTAGAGTAGATTTGCTTCTATTCAGAATCATTTCCTGTGATACCATGGTGAGGACGGCCACCTTCAGAATTATTTCCTCACATGTAGAACATCTCAACACAGCAAAAAGTCTGCAGTATTCTTCAACATAATCTGCTTTCACCTTGACTGAATTCAAATTAGTTCAATTAAGCAAGAGATTTTGGGGGCACTTGTTGTAAATAAGCACTGTGCCAGGGTTATAGGGAGAATGGAAACAGAAAATCCAATACCAATATATCACTGCCTTTTCAAGAGAATGTGTGGGTTATTTAGGGCTTCCCTGGTGGTGCAGGTGGTAAAGAATCTGCCTGCAATGCAGGAGACCTGGGTTTGATCCCTGAAGATCTCCTGGAGAAGGGAATGGCAACCCACTTCAGTATTCTTGCCTGGAAAATCCATGGACAGAGGAGCCTGGTGAGCTACAGCCCACGGGGTCACAAAGAATAGAACATGACTGAGTGACTAACATTTTCACTTTCTTCCTGAGTTATTTATGATATCAACTAGCAAGTTAAATAAAGGAAAAATGAAACCCATACTTACTCATGTATGGTTCTGTGGACCCTTGACCATGGCTGGGATAAGACCTCACCAAATATAAACTCCTTCTGAATGGGGGCCTTTATTTAAATGCTTGTATCCTCAAAGGGCTTTCTGGGTAATTGATAACCATTTGTTGAATTTCTAAAATATACTAAGGGAGTAATATTAAGATTTTAATCTACTGTCAAAACAGTTACAAAGCTGCAGCTGACATGTAAAGAGTAATAAAATGGCAGAAAAAATTACTTTCTCAGCTAGAAAAAAATCAATTTTCTTCTTGTCTTTCCCTTTTAGGGATAAAAGGCATTTTCTTTCCAGATTTCTTCTTTGAGGAAGCTCACTAAATACACACGGCTACTTTCCCCAGATGATTCAGAACAAACAGCAAACCAGTTTCACATATTATCTGAGATCCCAGAAAGACAGAAGATTAGTCAGAGCCATCCAAATGTCAGTGGGTTAGTTCTAATTCATGCATGTTTTCAGAGTCAGGAAGAAAGGCTGTGAGCAAATGCCGCCATCCCCGAGGCAGAGAGAAGAAAGGAAAACGTGTCTGGGAAGTCTGCAGCAAGAGGACAGAGGCCAGGAGGCTCTGGGGGTAGCACGCCTGGTCTTACTTGGGGCAGGAGGGTTTCCCCCTCCTCCGTCTGGCTGCTCCCATAGAAGCTGACCCCGCCGATCACAGAGATGGGGCGTCTTCTCGGGCCCCCCCGGGGACAGCCCCCAGCAGGAGTCTGGTCTTCAGGGTCTGTAGGGGCCACGCTGGGCTGGTGGTCACTGTCCACAGTGTTCTCTTTCTGGGGGTCCACGGCGATTGCATCTTCTGGGATAGACAGACTTCGGGCAACCAGCTGGCCATAGTCGGAGAGTGGTCGGGGCCTCGACCTCCTCCCAGACCCCAGTCTCCTCCTGGGGATCCTCTGAGCCTCCGTCCTCTCTTCCTCCGGTGGGGGAGCCTGCCTCCAGGACCCCTCAGTCACAACCTTTTCAAATGCGAACAAGTTAAGTAAGGGTGATATCCAGGAAGGCAGTGAGAACAAGCCCCCATCCCTCCCCACCAAGCTGACTGTGTGCCAGAAAAAAGTGACTGAAACATGGATGAGAAGAGGCAAATCTGTCTTTAATCAGAGGCTTAATTAAAACCCTAATTTCAGTAGTGATGTTTGTGACCCATAATGAACCATCATACAAGATACTAAGAAAATCAGTGCCCATTTGTTCATTTTTGTTTCCGTTTTCATTAGTCTAGGAGGTGGATCAAAAAAGGATTTCCTGCAATTTATGCCAAAGAGTATTCTGCCTGCACTTTCCTCTAAGAGGTTTATAATACCTGACCTAACACTGAGGTCTTTAATCCATTTTTGGGTTTATTTTTGTGTGTGATGTTAGGGAATGTTCTAATTTCATTGTTTTACATGTAGCTGTCCAGTTTTCTCAGCATCACTTATTCAAGATATTGTCTTTTCTCCATTGTATGTTCTTGCCTCCTTTGTCATAGATTAATTGACTGTGGGCATGTGGGTTTATTTCTGGACTTTCTAACCTGTTCCATTGATTGACATTTCTGGCTTTGTGCCAGTACCATACTGTTTTGATTACTGTAGCTTTGTAGTATACTCTTACACAACAAAGGAAGCCATAAAGAAAATGAAAAGACAACCCTCAGAATGGGAGAAAATATTTGCAAAAGAGACAACTAAGGAGTTAATTTCCAACATATACAAACAGCTCATTCAGCTCAATGCAAAAAAAATAAATAAATTAAAAAATGGGTGAAAGTGAAATAAACATTTCTCAAAAGAAGACATACAGACAGACAAAAAGCACATGCAAGGATGCTCCACATCAGTCATTATTACAGAAAGGTGAACCAAAACTAAAATGACGTATCACCTCATACCAATCAGAATTCCTATCATTAAGAAATATACAGACAACAAATGATGGAGAAGGTGCAGAGAAAAAGGAACCTTCCTACACTGTTGGTGGGAATGTAACTTGGTGAAGTCACTATGGAGAACAATATGGAGGTTCCTTAATAAACTAAAAACAGGGGTGCCATATGATCCAGCAATCCTACTTCTGAGCACATATCCAGACAAAACTATAATTCAAAAAGATACATTCTAGGAAACCAGATCTGAAAGAGACACGTGCACCCCAATGTTCATCGCAGCACTGTTTATAATAGCCAGGACATGGAAGCAACCTAGATGCCCATCAGCAGACGAATGGATGAGGAAGCTGTGGTACATATACACCATGGAATATTACTCAGCCATTAAAAAGAATTCATTTGAATCAGTTCTAATGAGATGGATGAAACTGGAGCCCATTATACAGAGCGAAGTAAGCCAGAAAGATAAAGACCATTACAGTATACTAACACATATATATGGAATTTAGAAAGATGGTAATGATAACCCTATATGCAAAACAGAAAAAGAGACTCAGATGTATAGAACAGACTTGTGGACTCTGTGGGAGAAGGCGAGGGTGGGATATTTCAAGAGAACAACATCGAAACATGTATATTATCTAGGGTGAAACAGATCACCAGCCCAGGTTGGATACATGAGACAAGTGCTCGGGCCTGGTGCACTGGGAAGACCCAGAGGGATCGGGTGGAGAGGGAGGTGGGAGGGGGGATCGGGATGGGGAATACATGTAAATCCATGGCTAATTCATTTCAATGTATGACAAAAACCACTGCAATGATGTAAAGTAATTAGCCTCCAACTAATAAAAATAAATGGAAAAAAACCCAAAAAGATACATTCTCCCCAATATTCACTGAAGCACTATTTACAATAGCCAAGACATGGAAAGAACCCAAATGTCCATCAGCAGAGGAATGGATAAAGAAGATGTGGTACATATATATTAATACAATGGAGCATTACTCAGCCTTAAAAAGAATGAAATAATGCCATGTGCAGCAACATGGATGGACCTAGAGATTATCATAAGTGAACTGGACAGAGAAAGACAAGCGTCATGTGATATCACTTATATGTGGAATCTAAAAAAAGGGTACAAGTGAAGCTACCTACAAAAGAGAAATAAGAGTGACAGATGTAGAGAACAAACTTACGGTTACCAGGCGATAAGGGGAGAGAGGGATAACTCGGGAGACTGTGACTGACAAATACACACTGCCGCTGCTGCGGCAGTCACGTCCGACTTCATGTCATGTCCAACTCTGTGTGACCCCATGGACTGCGGCCTGCCAGGCTCCTCTGTCCATGAGATTCTCCAGGCAAGAGTACTTGAGTGAGTTGCCATACCCCCCTGCAGGGGATCTTCCCAACTCAGAGATAGAACCTGGGTCTCCTGCATTGCAGGCAGAGTCTTTACCACTGAGCCACCAGGGAAGCCCATATACACAACTACTATAAATAAAACAGATAAATAATAAAGCTCAGGTAACACAGGCCTGCAGGAGAAATGGCCCGGAGGCTGCATTTGCTATCCAAGGCACCTTCTCTCAGCAGGTTCACAGACAATGTGTCTTAAGGGGACCGAGTCTGGGCTTCTGCTCGGCCCGACATCTGGGGACTTGGTCTGATGGGGTGAGCACTGAACCAGATCAGCCTACTAACTAGCTGGGTGTGCCTGAACTAGTCACCACTAACCTGTCAGGATCTCAGATTCCAGACCAGACAACCCCACAGGTGGAGAGTTTGCCGCCCAGAATTCGACGACACTTCCCAAAGTCTCAAGTGGCTGTTTCAGAGGCAATGCCATATACTAGGAGAACCCCCAAGGTGTGGGAGTGGGCAGACTTCTATCTAGTCCGCCTGGGCCTGGGGTTGGCTCTGTGGCCCCAGGCAAGTTGCCTGAGGTCTGCGGACTTGCTTCAGCCACTGCTCCCATCTGGGTGCTGGGAGGACAAACTGCAACCGTGAGGATCAGGGTGCCCATCCACCTAAGCCCTGGTGAGTCACTGCTCTCAAAGCGCTGTGCAGGAGAACCACCACGAGGGCTCAGCTCACAGACCTTCCACATCTGGGCTCAGAGCAGGCAGCGGTCCCTAGAAGCCTGGTGCCCTCAGCTCCTCCATCCCGAGACACTGTGTAACAACGATTTGAAAGTAAAACAGAACCCCACCCAGGGAGGGCTGGAACAACCAGGCAAGTCATGAGACAGCAGGGCAGGCAGAGCGGCCACTCTGTGATGTCTCCCCACCCCCAAACCCCCAGAGCCCTGCCCTGAGGACTGGCCCAACGAGTCCCGCCTCTCGCCAATCAGTGGCAACTGACACCTGAAATGCAGGTCACGTACTTCTGATCTGAGACCCAGGGAAGTCTGGTGACTTGCTCAGGGCCACGCAGCCAGTCAGCAGCAACAGACACCAGGTGTGGGCCTTGTAACCTGTCCCCACTACGCCACGATGTGCCCATATGCCAAGTGGTCCTTGTTTAGTCCCTCAGTCGTGTCCGACTCTTTGTGACCCCATGGACGGTAGCCCACCAGGCTCCTTTGTCCATGGGATATCCCAGGCAAGAATACTGGAGTGGGTTGCCATTTCTTTCTCCAGATATACCAAGTCACCTCTCCTCAGAAGGCAGTGGGTTCTGGCAAACTCCACTCCCTTCTGACCCGCCAGTTCGATTTTTACAGTCAGGACATCTATGTCCAATTCAAGTCACCACGGACGGGGTCCAGAATACACCATGGCGAATAAACACCACTTTGAGCTGCAGACACGTAAGAACAGGCTTTCCTTCTCCCTGAAAGCAGGAGAACTCGGTTGACATAAATCCTTTCCCTTCCTTGCAAGGAAAAGGTACTCTTTTCCTTCCTACCAGGGAAGACTGACTCTTATCACTGTGAGGAGAAGCCCTCAGTTAAACAGACACCGGCATAAAACTAGCCTGTCTCTCCCCTATTCTACAGGGCCCTCATCTTTCCTAAAAGTTACTCATTTTCCATAAGTGGCTTTTCCTACCTCTTTCCCCTGTTAAGATGCCCTAACCACTTCCTGCAGTCACAGTTTTCTGTGAACTCCCACTTATTCACATAAATAAAAGTCATCTTTTGTCAGTTTAATTTGCATATCTCCAGAAAAAAACATAAGAGGGTGTATTAAAACATTTTCCCCTGATGCCACAGGAAAATATGAGAGTGACTGGGGAAAAGTTTGTATTATTATTATTATTTTGCAGTATGTACATATAAAAACAGGCTATTATGGGTTGCTTAATTCATTTACTAAATCAAACAGCACAGACAACTTAAGCACACGTGAGAATAAACCCGTTTATATCATCACCCTGTGACAAAAAGGTTCAGAAACAGCATGCTAGAAAAAACAGAAGTACAAAAAATTTGCAGACAATAAACTGATCACAAATCTACAGGCAGTTGTTGGTTTTTCTTTTTTTTTTTTTTTTTTGCACTTACGCAACCTGCTTTCCTCATTGATACAGAAAAGAAAAAACAGAGAGACAGACAGATGGGTTTAGGAAAACCAGCGGCTGTCTTAGATGATCAGGTAACAAATCCTTCTGAGAGCAAACACGCTCCAGGAAGCGATGGGGGCGGGTGAAAGGAAGGTGTGCAGAGGCAGGAAATGAGAGGCTGGCTCCTTTAAGCTCATACCCACAGGGCAGCTCGGGGAGAACCGGCTGTGGCTGTGCTTTGACACTGTGCAGCCCCATCGGAGACAGGAAAGGAGAGAGCTTGCATTCTGGGTGGTGCAGAATTGTAATACATAAAACCAAAATGTACACTTTACTCAAAGCAGAGGTCCAGAGGGAGGGAGGGACAGATGGGGAAAAACCGCTCAGACTGAAGCTCACATCTGAACAGCGAGGCTTTGCCAGAAGACACGTTCCTTGCAAGACACATGTGAAGCGTCCCGCAAATTCTAAAACTGAATCATTGAGCAAACTTTACATACTTTGAAATACGGCCATCCAGGGGACACAGCTTGATTGCAACTCTTCCTAGAACTACAGACACCAGCGAGCCAAGACCT